ACAAAAGGTCTCAGAGATGGGAAATTTCTTCTGTAATTGTTGCACTCAAATTCAATATTAAGCTTGTGGTGTGCAGGCTGCGGCCCCAGAATTGCATGCAGCTCCACTGGAGTCTCTAGAGATGCCGCCCAGATTCTTATTTTTAATGCGGCAAGGAGGGAACACTTGATAAATAATCCTCTTGGCTATATTTAATTAATACCTTGCTGCATTTCACCCCATACAGCTTCGTGTTTGTCTTTGCTCCGCCAAATTCTTCAATATTTGATTCAAAGGTTAGGTGCAGCCCTGTGTCCTCAAAATGTTGTGCCCATTTGTTAAAGGAACAGTAATTGTTTCTACAATATATAATCAATAATAAAATGTAACAAGTATTCAGTGATGGCAGCTCTAGGGAAATGAAATCAGGTTTCTTGAGAAGTAGCATACTCCATGTAAATAGATCTTAGGCAGGCCACAAACTCTCCGTTCTTCCAATATGATGCATTAGGAAAGTTTTCTATTGAGGTACGCCATAAACATCTCCATTCTTTCAGTATAATACATTAGGAAGTTTTTTTTAAATTGAGATCTGCATTCATTGAAAGGCTAATTTTTCTTTCTGTTGGCATATCTGTTGCAAAACACACCCTAATGGAGTATATTCTGCATTTCCCTCAGTCCTGGGTTCCATCAATCAACATTTCAATAGAATCAATCAGTCCAATTGTGTGAAGGAGATCCCAGTTCTCCATTTTTCCCCCCAATGGTTTCATTATCAGAAGTTTTAAAAAGTGGAGCAGCCAGAATTGTATTTGCTCAGAATTGGAAAAGTTATAAGATACCAGTAAAGGGAAAAGTAATTCAGAAAATATTTGAATGTGCAGAAACGAATAGGTTAACATTGGTAATCAAAGAAAAAGAAGAAACAGAATATTGTTTATGATATGAGATTTATTTTATCAATGGTTGGAAAATAAAATAAATTAAAATGGACCAGATGAATATATAGAGCAATAAAATAAGATTGTTCAAAAAAAATAATAGATATATTAAATAATAGCTATAAGAAAATGTGATTATTGTTATATTGGTAAGTGAAGTATTAATTATAATTGTAAGTGCAAGATATATGTACCCAGTCGACACAGGATTGAAATGAAAGATGGAACTATTGTAAACTATAAAATAAAAATGAATAGAAGTTTTAAAAAGTGGGTTGCTGGCGCCTTGATTGCGTAAAGATTTAGTTCAGTTGCTAACTGTGAATATTGATTGGGGCTCTATAGAGATTTCGATACCGAGCTATTTTTATTTCTGAAGTCTTACAGACAACAGCTTGACTGGTTTCTGAATGCAAGTCTGCAACATGGACCTTTGTCCCCACCTCCATCCCACCCCCCAAAAAGAAAGAAAAAATAAATTGGGCTTTATTCAAATGGGAGGCAAGTATTTATGGCTAGCCAGGCAACATATTAGCTTTCTTGCTTCTATTGTTCATTTCTTAGAAATAAGATTGTCATGTCAGACTCGTATCTTATTCTTCAGGCCTTTAAGACACCGGATAGCCTTTATTCCAAGAGACATTTTAAGGAGGAGGACAGGAAGTCTCCTTTTATATACTGGTTAATATTTGCCCAGCTTTCTTTTTACTATGCTCCCGATGCAAGTCATTAACTTCCAATGGAGACATTAACTCTCTCTCTTTCACCAGCCTCCATGCAAGCAGAACACCATTCTTTTCTCAAAGGTACCTCAAGGGACATCTGTGCTTTCCATAAAATCTTTTTTTTAAGCCAACTTTTTATTTTACCTTCCCCTGCTTTGAACGGAAAAGAGGTAACCACAAAACAACAGCTTGATCTGCTGTCTGTATTTCAGCCATGCAAGTAATACAGTGGTGGGATTCCAATTTTTTTTACTACCGGTTCTGTGGGCGTGGCTTGGTGGGCATGGTGTGGGAAGGTTACTGCAAAATCTCCATTCCCTCCCCACCCCACTAACCTGCTTTCCAGCTCTGTTCTCCTGTGCAGGGCAACCAAAGGAGACCCAGCCAATCAGCTGGGACTCGGGAGGTGGAGAATAGATGGGGGCGGGGCCAGTCAGAGGTGGGATTTGCCGGTTCTCCGAACTACACAAAATTTCTGCTACCGGTTCTCCAGAACTGGTCAGAACCTGCTGAATACCCACCTCTGCTCCAGTGATGGAGCACCCACAACTTCTGGAGAAAGCCATTGAGCTGGTTAATTGTTGTCACTGTCAGAAAAATTCTCTTTACTCCTAGGTTGCTTCTCTCCTTGATTGGTTTCCGTTCCTGGCTTCTTGTCCTGCCTTCAGGTGCTTTGGAGAATAGGTTGATTCCCTCCTTCTTTGCGGCAGATTTTTTAGATATTTGGAACCAGGTTTTGAGGAATTAGCTGGGTCTGCCAGTTTTGATGGCCTTGGCTTTTGATCTTTCCTCGATTTTGAAGCTTTACTGCCCTTAATAGGATGTTTGTTCCAGTTAAGCAAACTGTTTAACCTGTTCTGCAGTCCTAGTCATATTTGAATTTCTTATCTTTCAGTAAGAGAGTAGCCACAAAATAAAACAGTTTCTTCTTTTTTTAAGAAAAGAAAAAAGAAACACACACAGCAGAAGTGCAACCTTTTTCTAATTTCCTTTGTGTGAGATCTTGTCATGAATGAAGATGAGGCTTTTGACCTAAGCAAGGGTTTCTAAAAGAAACTTAAGGAAATCCCTCCCAACAACTTTGGTCATTATAATGTTTTTGTAAGGGTCTTTAGGCTTTCAGATATCCAGATATCCTGGGCTAGGGGAGAAAAATGCTTGGAATTCCTGTTTGTGGATTGAAACATGCCATAAAAGTGAAATATTTTCACATACCAAGATGACAGCTTTACATTTGGACAGGGGTTTTTTATTTTATTTTAAGGTCAACTATCTGCTGTTTTGATCTGTTTCTACTCTGGTTGATGAAAAACACAATCAAAGGTGATTTGTGGTATGCCAGTGTGGTTTGATAGCATCTCTTGAATGAAAAGAAACACCGGGTCATTTGAAGGCAACACTTCCTTTTGAAGGACCACAACCCACAGGTCAGTTTTCAGGATGTGGCTTGTTTAAAGAGCCTCACAGATTCAACCTCTGTCATCCTAAATTACATATGAGGACTTTGACGGTTTCCAGATCTTGAAGACTGGATTGGATGGGCCAGTTTGCTGGCAATGGAGCTACCATTAGCTTCGCCTCATCATGGTTTTGTTGGTGCTGGCATCATTGTGATGTGCCAGCTGTTGCACTTTGTGTACCATGTTTATGGCACAACACAAGGAGTAGATTCAGCCAATGGTAGCTTATAATTCGGTGCCAAATGATGAAATTCATCTTGGTTTCATGAGATGTGAAAACCCAATCCTTGTGAGACAGCATGATATCTTCCATCAAGGACAGCATGTGCAGGGGTATGTGAGCGTGGCTGGTGGAACTTCGAAAATGGGTCATAAGAAAATAGAATACTTTATTGGCCAAGTTTAATTCAGCACACAAGAAATTTGTCTCCGGCGCAAATGCTCCCAGTGTATGTGCAAAGCAGGAGAGTAATAATGATCATAATGATGATACCAATAAGAGGGGACAGAAATGAACCATGGTGGTACAGTGGTTAAAATGCAGTGGTTAGAATGCAGGCTACTTCTGCTGACTGCCAGCTGCCTGCAGTTTGGCAGTTCGAATCTCACCAAGCTCAAAGTTGACTCTGCCTTCCATTTTTCCAAGGTTGGTAAAATGAGGACCCAGATTGTTGGGGCAGTAGGCTGACTCTGTAAACCACCCAGAGAGGGCTGTAAAAGCACTGTGAAGCGGTGTATAAGTCTAAGTGCTATTGCTACAGAAGATAGGAAGTATAATAATAATAATAATAATAATAATAATAATAATAATAATAATAATAATACATCCATAGAACTTAAGTAGCTCTGGGGAAGTCCATTGTATCTTAAATGGTCACTGGCTGTTAAATGGGGACCACCTGAAGTGCAACTTCTCAAACCACAGGACATTTGGAGCTTATTGTTCCCATAAAATCTGGAGGGAAGAAAGAAAACAGCATTATAATTCTTAAAAGTTCTTCATATTTAAAACCATCATTCAAGTGATGGATATGTCAGTTCTCCAGACGCACATGTTTCCATGGTCAACATCAGAGAAATATTAGTGGGAAGTAATAGGAAATTTGAGCAGAAGATCTGTGCTAGGAATAAACGCACAAGCCACCTAGAAGCAAAATGCCGACATGACAAGACTGGTTGGAAAAGCTGACTGTTGGGAGAAAAAGTAAATCAGAAAGGAAGGAAATTGACAAACATATTTTAAGTGATTGCTGCAGAACCCATTTGTGGAAACTCTTCCAAAAAAGTTCCAGAAAGACAGGAGACTGATTTTGAATCTATTCAGACAATTGCTACACCTCAATTCCCAGCATCCTGGCAGGGGCTGCTGGGAGCAGTAGGTCCGCAACATCTGGAATTCTCCCTCCTCTGGAGTTAATCTTGCTACAGATGCAAGATTTCAGGTGCTGTCCCTTATCACATCTTCTTTCTCAAGAAGACCGAGAACTATTTTTCTGCAACAACTCCGCCATTTCTTATCCGGTTTTATTAAGTTATAAAGTGTTATAAAATGTAAAATACAAAAGCAAATAAAAGGGCAGGAAAAGGGAGGGAAAGAAAAAGAAAAAGAAGCGTTGACTTCCAACTATCTGTTACAGTAGAATAGGGCATTAACAACAATCACAACTTTTTGTTTTTACCATAATAGTATCAACCAGTCATGTCTACAAGAATCTTTATCAGTCTAATCTGTGAAACCCACAATCAAAAGTTTCGTTCTTTTCAAAGTTTTGTTTCTAAAATGCAGAGATAGGCTTTATTTTTTTGGGAGGGGGGGGGAGAGGAATCGACCTTCCTTCTCTCTTTCTGTGGTCCTGTCCTTTTGATAATGGATATCTTTTTCTGTTATTCAGGGATGCAACCCCCTTGCAGAAACTGGGCGGAGCAAATTGCAAAATCGGAGAGCTGTCCTGAACCAGCAGATTCTGAAAGCAGCGAGGATGAGAGCTGGTGCAGAAAACCTCCTCCGGTATGTTCCCACGAGTCCCCGCTCCTTTTCTGCCCGCAGTCACAAAATGCAGCCTTTGTCCTTCTCAACGGGAACAGCCTCTCACTTCCCAGCCAGCAGCCCCTTCGCTCCAACACCTTATTGAAAATAAATAGAAGACGGAGCTTGGCATGCCGATTTACATAATGTTTTCACTGTTCCCCCCTCAAAGGAGGCTATCTGCAGTTCCACCAGCCCTCTCCTGCTTTTCTTTCTATATGGGTTCCTTTCAAAACAATAACCCTTTTTCTCTGGGCCGTTTGATGCAACGGGATGGTTTTAACCACATCATTATTCTTGGGTTTAAAGTAGTTGTCGACTTATGATCACAATTGAGCCCCAAATTTCTCTTGCTAAGCAAGACGGCTGTTCAGTGAGTTTTGCCCCATTCTGCAATGGTTCTTGCCACAGTTGTTAAGTTTTTGCCTTCAGTTGTTAATCTAATAACATGGCTGTGAAGTGTCATGCCCCTGGTGGAGACTGACTCTGAGGGAGAGGAGGAACAGCTGACAGGGAGTGGAGGTATGGCTCCGGAGGTTGTGGAGGAGGCTGGTGAAGGGCAGAGGCCAGCTGGGCAGTCAGAGGAAGACCCAGGCCCATCCCCTCTCCATCCTAGGGCACACAGGGAGGAACAGAGAAGGGAACAACTTGGCTTACGGGAAAGGAAGCGGCCATGATCCCCCTCATTGGCTGCAGCTGGGGAGAATAGTATAAAGGAGGGGCGTTTAAAACACAGCGTTGCTAGAAGCAAAGTGTGTTTTTATTTCTGGCTGAGGTTTATCTTGGTTGGCGCTCTTCCAACGGACTGTGCCTTGTTATCTTCTTGAAGTTTGTAATTAATTATCCTGGTCTGTCATGAAAATTCCTTTAGTGCAATATTTCTCCGTTATCTGTTCTTTGAGTTAGGACTGTATTTCTTTCATTTGGAGACTATTTTGGAAAGAGTTTAATCTCCAACTGCGAACAATTGCACAGTGAGGCCAAGTTGGAGGCATTAAAGTAAATTTATTTAGGTTTGGGAATTTATTACGTGTGTGCTGCTTCCCGGGTCATCACATGAAGTGAATTGGGCTTCCCCATGAATTTTTTTTTTTTTGTCAGAAATTTGCAAAAGGGGATCCCAGGATCCCAGGATGCTGCAGCTGTCTGTCAGGATTCCAGCAGTTACCCCCATTTAAATCATGAGTCTCAAGCCACACTTCCAAAACTTAAAAAGGATTTATCGGGAGTTAACATGCCGGCACTGCCTGGGTGTAGCCGACTCTGAGACACATCATTCATTGTCACCCTTGGCCCTGGTTTTCCCCCAACCCCTGGGTGTATCGTAATTCATATTCTCCAATGGGACACATCCATAGCCAAGAGTCATCAATCATGCTCTCCAGTTAGATATTTGGGAGGCAGAAACTTTAGTCACCTAGTTACTATCTTTGAAAACATTTATGGAATGCAGTTTCAGTTTTGCAAGCTGCTGCACTGCTCCCCCCACCTTTCTGTTGGCAACTCTAAAAAGACCAGATAAATATTTTATGAGTTGACACTGTCATAAATACTTGTTGAGCACCTGAATTTTGATCACATGACTACGGGGGGGGGGGGGGGGGCTGGAGCGGTTGTAGGTGTGAAAAACTGTCATGAGTTACTTTTTTCAATGCCAAGTTCTAAGTTGAGGACTACCTATATATGTCGGTGTGGGAATAATCTGAAGAATAGAGAAAATAGGCAAGGAAAATATTATAAGGAAACTGAGCGGCATGGTGGGCTAGAGGCGAAGGCCCTTGCCTTCCACTTGGAAAGTTGAGAGTTCTATCCAAGGCAGCGACAGACATTTCTTAACCAGCTGCCAAGATAAAATATCTGCTGTGAACTTCACATAGGTGTCATGAAGGGCATTCAGACAGTAAATGCTCAGCTCCATTGAGTTGCCCCAACTCCATCCGGATAAAAGGGATTACAGGGTTGTAAAAAGAAATATATCAATATCAATATCAATATCTATATCTATCTATCTATCTATCTATCTATCTATCTATCTATCTATCTATCTATCTATATATATATATATGGATCTTTGGTTATTCGGGTTTTCTCCCGCATAAGATTCAAAGTATCTAGGCAACGTTTCGGCGAGGTCCCACTCGCCATCTTCAGGCTGGTGCTTTCGGCTTAGTGCCAGTGCAAGCAGTGTGTGACCGGAGCTGCCATCTCTCTATATATACAAGTGGTGGGGGATGGTGTGCTGGGCTGGTTGGCTGTGCTGCAGCCTCTTGATTGGTTGATGGAGTTGATGTTGGTATAATGGGCTGTGTAATGGCCTTTTGTTGTAGAGATATCCTGGATCTTGTGCTGTCATCTCCTGGGTCGTTAGCCTCTTGTGTTTTAACGGCTTGGGTAATGGGTTGTGTGATGGGCTTGTGAGTTCTTTTGTTGTGGTATCCTGGGTCTTGCGTTGTAATCTCCTGGGTCGTTTGTGTTTTGATCTCTTTT